GATGTTTTGAAATTTTAAATATGCTTTCAATTCTTCTCATTCTTTATCTATTTTTCAATTGTTTATCCTCTTTTCCTAATGTTTAATAACTCGACATTTCTATTTTTCAATTGTTTATCCTCTTTTCCTAATGTTTAATAACTAGACATACGGGGTCCTACGCGGCGCGAATCCGGTATAGTCGGGCTCTAATGTGGGTACCGGACACCGGGTGGGAAACCAAAAAATAAATAACTCGACATATATCCCAACGTTTTATTGAGACCTATATTTGTATGTTCCGATGAACAATTGCCCGTTGAGGAAGCTTTGCCCTCGTAATAGTCTAGCTATTAATTTAGGCGCTAAATAAATGATTCCACTAAACAATATTAGGTACGAACACAAGCAACATGGTGTTCAACTGCGTTCTAGTAATTCAGCAGCTTAGTTAAGACAAATTATCATAACTGTATAACCAGTAATTGCACTATTAATTAATTATCTTAGGGGTCTCTAATACCTTCTCAAATGGCTACCGTCATGTAAATAAACTACAGCTAATAATGAATTTATGCCTTGTTTTATATCACAATTTTCTTTCTTTGAGACCTTGAATAACTTAATTTGGTGATTTATGATTTTTGTGTGTGGTTAGTTTCGATTTTCGGAAAGTTTAAATGTATTTTTATAAAGAAAACTTGATTTTCAGACTCCACTTGTGGAAATATACTGGGATTGTTGTTGGTGGTGGTGTAAAGTTGTTAGAGTTGACTGAAAGCAGTGACGAGCTCAAAAGGATATAGACAAAACCAATATAATGACAACACAAGTAAGGTAATGACAATGTTAGTAAATAACTAAGAGAAACTTCCATATTCAGCCCGTTCATGGTACATAAGTTTAGCCAGCTTTCAAGTTTACAAATAAAGACTAACACTGGTAATAACATGTCAAGTATAGTTAGCATTAGGAATGGTACATCTCTATTCCTACATGTCAAATATACATGCCAAATGTAAGGTATCACAATGATATTCATGGGTATTCACACTATTAGAGTGCTCAATCTATCTATCTCAAATACACACACAATCACTCAGCACTGTACGGGTTCCTGGCGTCAATTCCCCTCACTAAAGCACGTGAATATATCATTGTGCCTGCACTATGTCAGACTCCGGACGGGGGGATCCTGCCCAAGCGCTAATATAAAGCCTATAAGGCCTACTACGGCGTGTAGCCCGATCCATAATAAATAATAACCCAATATGGCTTGTTTCTGCGTGCAGTCTGATCCACAATAACACTCACAATCCGGCTCTTAGTCCCACCTTAGTCACCAATCCCTCAAGTCTCAAGGGCTCACAGATGGCGTACCACTCAGCCCAAACAATGATTACATTTAATGTAACATTGAATAATAATAGAGACTGAGATATAATATGCAAATTAAGAGTCATGACTGAGTATATGATTGTAGTTAAAGCAGATAACCCAAAAAGCAGCAGAAATAACCTCATTAGATCTCAACCGGATAAGCACATAGCCTAAACATAATTTCTTACATGCACCACAGTCCAATTTCTCTAACAAGTAGGAACTACATAGATAAAACAAGACTTGATATCTACACAATATAAGAATCCACCTGGATCATGATTACCACGGTGCACGCCCATACGCCCGTCACCTAGAATGTATGTCGCCCCAACACAAACCATATAATACATTTTTCATAGATTTATACCCTCAGTTCTAAGTTTAGAAGTGTTACTTACTTTAAAGTACGCAACTCAATGCTCCAACAAACCCTTGCCTCAGCCTCTGAACGACTCGAATCTAGTCACAAACAATTTAATATTATTTACCCTTGTTTATGCATTATTTCTAAAATTAATGATTGTAAACATTGATTCATGCCTATTTGACTTAGTTCTTACTTGAGAAAGAGGAATCTCGCTAACAAGAAATTGAGCTAGTTAAGGTTTTGGCTTGTTTGATTAAAGGGTATGAATTAGAGATAGGAAAAAAACCAGAGTTGGACTCATATCAATTATTTGCATTGCTGCTCAATTGGACTTGAGATTGCCAATTTGGACATAAGCACTCTATAACCGAGAGGTATTGAGTGGCTAATTGAGAATTAAGAGTTATAATATATCCCGATCCGCAAAACAAGCATTAACGTAATTTACCAATTGGATTTGCACCTAGGTAAAGGTTACATCCCTAGGCTTCTTTTCAATTGCTTAAAAACACCAAAACACTTATTCTATTTCTATTACTTGCAATTAGTTTAAATATCTTAGTGTTACTTGGAAAACAATCACCCATTATTTGGAAGCGCAATTGAGTTGTTTCACGTACTCTCGTCAAGTATCTACCTTGACACCCTTCATAAACTCTCTGAGGAATTCGACCCCGACTCTAGTTGAGAATTATAATCGCAACGGGAGTTTTCACTCACTATTGAGTGTGGATCGGTACAATTGACCCCGTGTACTCTATAAGTGCAGAGTCTGACCTCGACGAAGTAGTGATGAGGCAATAACAAGGAACTCACAATAAACCTGTACGACTAATAATAATAGAATACGAAAATGTAGATAAACCAGTAAACTCATATTAACGAACACGAAGGTCATATACCAGAGGGCCCCAGAATAACATAATCTCAAATCTCATATCATAATACCGAGAATACACTCTATAGCCACAAACAACTACAACACATCAATCCATTCCGGAGTGCAACTCGATCTCAAGTTTCAACAAAATATCTTTACAGCGTACAACTCATTTCCATATCATATCATATCATTCCCTGTTGCAGCGTGCAACCTGACCCCCTAATATTAATTTATTTCAGTACCGTTGCGGTGCGCAACCCAATCCTCCAATATCGTTTTGTTAACATAAATAACTCAACATCATTGTTTATGAAATATCGACATAAAAGAGAAATAAAACGTGTGGAACAATAAGGAACTACCAATTCAAACGGAGAATAGCCAATACTTCGTAATCCCAAATCTTGGCAAAACAATAATACCAAAATAGCTAGGTGGCTCACATAAATGGAATGACATAGTAAAGTACTTCAAGTAGTATAAGAACACTAAAAGCAAGTAGAACATAAGACCATGAAAATATACAATTAATGCAATTAGAAGCATGTAGCAGGTAAGCAGATATTGAGTGAGAAATGAACAATTCGATACAAGTAACACTAAATAAGAAATAACAGGTAAAGCATGGATGACAAGAAAAAACATGTAGCAATTAAGGCATGTAACAAGAGATAACATGGAATAAAAGAAGACATGGAAGTAAAAGCCCAATCCCGCATGCTTTAACTCCACGGTGGTATATATAAACTCGTCACCTCGCATATACGCTATTTTCCCACATAATTACATAACAAGTAGGCCAACAAGTCCTAATTCCCTAAAGTCAAAGTTCGACACGATACTTACCTCACTCCACAACCAAAGCAATCAATCAACCATGACCTTGCCTTCGAACAAGC